GGCTGGTAAAGGGCTTTCTTAACCCAGAAGCGTACAGGTTTTGAAAGCTTCTGATTCAGTGTCAGTGTCATTCATTCATTCCCTCAGATAATTCTGGAGAGCGTTCAACAGTAAGGATCTGAAAATCACCTCTGGGCAAGGGCCCGGCGTCAGGTTCCAGGAAGGACATGTTTCATGCCCAGGAACGTGTCTTGGTTGTATTTTCTCCTGCATAGCAGAGTCTCCAGGGGTCCCATGGGCTGCCCGAGAGCTTCCACTCAACCTCGGGGCTCTGGGGCTGACTCCTGGCTGCTTCCAGGTCCCCCTGGTCTGGGTGAGGAGGAAGGCTGCCCATCCACGTTGCTGCCTCACCAAGACCAGATTGGAGTGACAGGCTCTGCGGGGCTGGGCCCGGCCTCCAGGAAAACCGCCACCGCAGCTCCTCTGTGAGACCAGCGGCTGAGGGCAGGGGCTGGGGGATCATAGACTTCCGCCCTCCCTGACTTATATCCAACTTCTTGTCAGAGAAGATGAAGACACCTGGGCCCACCATCCAGAATTAAAACCAGATTTGGATATCACGAGAAATCAGAATACGGAAGCCCGGAGACCTTGGCCAAGCGGGGCGCAGGCCTCAGAGGCCGCCCGTCGTGGGTTGGGGCCTCCCCAGGCCACACAGTGGGAGAGAGGGCACTGGGTGGGCAGAGCTGCAGTCAGGCCACATTTCTAAGTCCTGCTTCTTTGAGCTGCGAGTCGGACAGATTTTATCTTGCCTGTTTTGACCCTCATGAAGCAACAGCTGCGTGTGGGGAGAGAACAGAGAGCAGCAAGCATGCTGGTTCTTCTTTTGGCTCATTTGGCAACTTCCCGTAACTTTTGAGCAAGGACAGGTATTTCCCCTTGTGCCTGAGGTGCGCAGTTTCCAGCATATGTCTGCCGCCCCAGTCTGTCTAGAAATGGACCTTGGCTCAGCCCAAAAGCAAATTCATACTGACCATGGGGAAGGGTATGGGGACATCAAATAGGCAGTCTCGGCCATTCCTTTACGTTCGTCTGACCCGTCGTTCTATAAATCACCTTTGGCCCTACTCCTGGCACAGTGAGGGGCATTCTGGCTCATGTCTCTGCCACTCTCAATTTTGTTCTCCTTTATCACTCAGCAAGGTCCACATTTTACCAGTGAAAATGTGAAATCACAGGGAGAAAACCACGGACTTGGCCTCTGTCTCCAATCTGGTAGCACAGTCTCTTGGCAAATTCAGATGTATCTGCTACAGTCTTTTCCTCAAGTGATTTTGGGTACTTTCCAAATTTACCAACTCCCTAAAGGATGGGGGAGCTGCCAGGTACATGATCAGCGCCTGCTCTGTGCCCGAGGACCTGTTTCTGGATGCTCTAGGGGCTCTAGGGATGCAGGGCAGCGAGCCAACAGGGTATGTGACAGGGATGTAAACATGCCATCAGCCCATGACCCCATACCCTGGGAACAGCCTCATGGCTCTCTGCCCTCCTCAGCCACCTAATGTCATTCTCCAGAACTGTTCTACGGTGGCTCTTAACCAATTCCGGAATCCTTACTTTCTGATCCCAGCCTTTTCCTTTCCAGAGTTTTCATCCACAAGTCCCACCACCCCTGCCCTCGACCTGGAGGTTCCCTGGAACCTTCCCCTCCAGCCTGACCTCATCTTCTCCTGAAGGCCCAGACCCTTTCCCTCACATCAGACACATCTTCCCCAACCTGCCAACCTCTTTCTCCTCTGTCCCACCACTGCCTCTGGCCAGGCTAGGACATCCCAGCTCTGGGTCACATCGGCCTCCTGCCACCCTCATCTCCCCGATGGGGGGATTGGAGCTGCTAAAACTCTAGGCCAACAATCACAACCAAACCTCAACCAGCCATCATCAGCCTCTTCCCTGCCCCTAGAATTCTTCCAAGCCTCCTGTGCTGTCATCTACCCCATAGCCTCTCCACCACACTTTGGGCACACAACCCAAATCCCACTTCTCTGGAAAATCAGAGGTTACCAGATAGGCAGCACCCTGCCATGGCAGCCATGGAGGGGTGCTGCTCAGTCCTCCCTGCAAGGAAACCAGAGAGGTTGAGGGGGAAGCATGGTCAGCTGCAGCCCCCAGATGCAGCCAGCGGTGAGCATGGCAGGGGTGTGAGGGCTCGGCCACTTCTGCCCCAAGTCTGCCTGTCCTGCCTGCCTGCTCTCCACCTAAAGGCCTCCTGCTCCCCACTGTCTCTCACAGGTATCACCATCCCACTAAATCTCTTGTACTTCTAACTCCACTTGGTATCTGCTTCCCAGAGAATCCCAACTGACATCCACTTTCCTGGCTGGTCGGTCTGAATATTACCTGCCTGGTTTCCCCGTGTCCTGGCTCATCTCCATAAAGACAGTTCTTCCACTGCCCAGCGGCTAATATTTCAGGGGCCTTGTGGGTTGACTCCCCTGCTTATCTTCCTAGGGACCCCACACCCTTGGTGGCCATCATCTCAGCTTCCCAACCTTCTCCTTCCCTTCCATGAGGGAGGTGATTCCCAGATGCTGACTTGCTGACGACTTTCAAATCCCACCTTTCAGTGAGGAGTTTTTCCTGAAGTCCAGATTCCAGTAGCCAGCTGGTGAGGGGACCTTTCCATTGGCTGCACCATGGGTGCCTTAACACCAGCGTGTCCTGGGATGAACTCATGGTCACCCACAAAGCCTCACCAGAGGGTGCCACCATCCTCCTCAAAGTCACCCAGGCCAGAAACTGGGGCAGCCCCCTCAGGGCTCCCTTCCCGGTGGGCACCAGCAACTGCTGATTCTACTTCTGCACTTGCTCCCGAGCTGCGTGCTCCTTCCCATGGCACTGCCCCTGAAGGTAGCCTTCAGCGTCTCTTAACTGCACTGCCCGGTTCATCTCTCAGCCCAGCGCTGGAATCTCATCCGGTGTCTCTCCGTCATAGTTCTCAAATTGAGCCTTCTGAAAGGCCAGTGCCTCTGGCGCAGGAAGACTTCCGTTGCTCCCATTGCCATCACCACTGCCAGCATCGCCATTCCAGCTCTTCCACGTGCCAGTTAAAACCCTGTGGATCTGGTCTTGCCTTCCTCTGGACCCCCGAGGGCTAGCCAAACTGCATCCCCTGCAGCTGCAGCACCGCGGGCATTCTCATGCCTCGGGCCTTTGCATCTACTTCCCTCTGCCTGGAGCACTCGCCCCCATCCCTCACATGGCGAGCTCCTACCCATCCATCAAAGACCAGATCAAGGGCTACACGCCCCAGGAGTAAGGGTGTCCCCCTTCTGCTCTTTTCCAGCACCTCCGCAGAGCTCTGCCTACCAGGGACTGCTGGCCCTAGCTCTGTTTCCCTTGTTAGACTGAGAGCTTTCTGAGATCCAGGCTCATTTCTGCATCCCCAGCATCTAGCACAGACCCTGGTACTTGGTTGGCATTAAACAAATATTAGTAATGAAGGAATGCATGAGTAACCAAATGAATGGATTCTGCTTGGGGTTGGAGCGCTCACTGGGGTGCTAATATTTGAGGTGAGTCCAAAAGAAGGGCTAAGAATTGTGAAGCAGGAATTTGAATGGAGAAGGGCGTCCAGGGACAGGGTCTGGCATGTACAAAGGGTGCAGGTTTGGGGGAGAGAGACGTGTTGAGGAAACTATAGCTAGGTCTGCTGCTAGAGCAGAGACTGGGTGTGCAGGATGTGCCACAGGTGACTCTGGAGAAATGGGACAAGGGACAATGACTGTTGGACTCTGGGGAGCCTGGCTTTGCCCAGTATACAACAGGGTAGAGGAAGGCAGGCAGTGCCAGGCTGTGGGGTGCCTGGAGAGGAGGTGAAGGGGTGTGGTCCTGAGCAGGCCGGGGGACAGAGCAGGGGCAGAGTTGAGAGGGTTTAGATGGAAGTGATCTGGTGCCAGAGGAGGCGTGAAGGTGGCAGGATGGTGATGCCATGGGGTCTGGCTTGGGTTGCTGAGTGGAAGGTGAAGTCTTTCACTCACCAAGGTGGCAGCCTTGGAGAGGAGCAGGTTTGAGAGCAAGACAATGAGTTCAGTTTTGCTTTTAAGATAAGACCTGAAACATGTACATTGGAGGGGCCATCAGGTTGGGAGAGCTGTTTGAAGGCCTCTTTCAAAGCAGAGCTGGGGGTAGGGGGTTGGAGCCAGCTGTGCTCAGATTGCACCAGCTCCTGAGAGCTGATTGTTACATTTTCTGGAATTTTATGAGGCAGTAGTTAAACCTAGGTATTATTAAAAAAATAAATTGTATAAAATAAAATTACAATTAGATTGATTATATTGAAAACAAAGATAACTACTCAAAATTCATCACTTCCTAAGAATTTTACATTTTATTATTTATGCTTTTAAGATTATTTACGTCTGTTATGTCTGTGGAAATAATCTATAATGTGTTACTGTGCTTTTCTTCCCCTCTGCTTTCAGTGACATCATATTAATAGCTTGAAATTGGTCATGGCGGAAATATTTACACTATGGAAGTTGGCAAATCCCACAAATCAAGGCTTGATTTATTGTTTGTTGACTGTCTAGGCTTAAGAAAGTTATAGAGAAAATGTTAATAATGCACATTAAACTTAAATGTATGTTGTGCCTGTAGCCACTGCATGGTGAATGGCACAGAAACCTGGAGCAAAAGTTCTTCCAGTGCCCCAAAACTATGATCTCGTTCAGTGAAGATGTTGCTCACATCATTGACAAACAAGCGAAGTTCCAACATGTATCTTCATTGTGTCACTTTTTTCTTACTAGTTGCCACAAACAAAACTATCAACCAGCATTTACACAGGAACTCCACTCATTTGTCAATTGTTATAGGCTGGTTATGGGTCCTGCAGGTTGCTAAAAATCAATGAAGCATTTGTAAGAGTCAGTTTGCCCTAAGCAACTTACAATAAAGAGTACTGTATATTTTATTATTATTTGTAGATTGCTAAACATCCTTTATGTCAATAAAATTTATAACACACTCATATATGTATTATTTTCTCTGCCATGCAGGATGCCAGCCATCTTCTAAGAGTGAGAGGCAGAGAAGAAGCAGGGCGCTGAGGTGGATGAGGGACAAAGAGGAGGGACCTGTGAGGACAAGGCTGACTCAGAAAGACCTGAGACGACAACAGCATCATAACCATGAGAGCTAGAAGCCGGGGGTGCAAACCAGGTTCTGGCCCTGGGCCAAGCCCCGAGGTAAGGATTTGCTTTGTTAATCTGCTGGGACAATCCTAGGTGGAACCCAGGGCTTGGAGAGGTTAAGTCCTTTGTCCACGGCCCACAGCCAGTTAGTGGCTGAGTCAGGATTCGAACTCAGGTAGCCTGGCTCTGTTGACAAGGCAGGAGCTGGCAGAGCAGCCCCTTTCTCCTCTGCAAAGCCCCTCAGACTGTGGACACTGGATCTGCTCCAGGTCAGAGATCCAGAGGGCAGGTGTGGCCACGTGCCAAGGACTTGAAGAAGGCATGAAAACGGCTGGCAAAGCTGCCTCCCACCTCTGGTCCCTACCTGGTGTCCACCTCCCAGCACATTCCTCCCACCACTCCACAGGGTCTACGAGCTAATAATATGAATCGGGGCTTGCATTTAAAACACATCTTTGTTATTTTATTTTCAAAAAATTCATTCTTATTGTATTTTTTAAAAGTAAAATACATGACAGATTGGAAATTTACAAAATTGGTGCTTCTCCCTAGAACATTTGAGAAGCACCGTGCTAACCCACCCTTTGCCACACTGCTCCTGCTGGAAGCCCTAGTGGTCCCCTCGGGCTGCAGCAGAGGCTTCAGATGGTGGGTGGGGATCAACCTGTGGGTTGGGAGTGTAATTTAGTCTGTCATTACCAGCATTAAATAAAGAAAAAGAAGTGGAGTGAAATAGAAAATATCGGAGTACAATGCATGTAGTAAATATATTTTGTTTCAGCTATATATAAAAATAAGTATACACTAATATATTAAACACATAATATATAATGTATTAATATTAAATATAGGACATAGAATTACATAATATACTAATATTAAATATATAATATATAAATATATTAAATATACACTTATATATTTATAGATAAGTATAAATAAGTACATGTATCTAATATGTATAAATATATTAAATATACACTTATATATTTATAGATAAGTATATATATCTCTAACATATTATAATGCATATGTGTGCTGGAGTATGATGAGGAATACTATGATCACAGTAAAGAAAAATTTAATTGCCACTAGTATACTGGAAAAGACAGCACAGCCGAGCTTGACATTCACAGCCACACAGGAGAGAGGGGTTGCTGAGGAAGAACAGGCAGCGCTTCCAGGGAAAGGCCAGTGAGCTGGGCTTGGAGGACGGCAGGTTATGGGTGAGCAGAGGGAAGGACATGAGCGAAGACCCAGAAAGACCACAACTTTCACGCCTAGATGGTCCGGCGCTCCAGCTCAGAATGGGCCTGGACCTGGCCTCCGGGAGCTTGCAGGTGGCATGAGGATTGCAGTCCCTGTGATGGCACCTTAGAGGAGGGAGCCCCTTAGTTTGCTGGAGAAATCAAGGGAGACTTCCCGGAGATGGTGACACTTTAGCTGACCTCTGAGGGAAGAGTTGGGGTTCGCCATGAGAACGGGGGTGTGGGGAAGGCTAGTCTGGCCAAGTGAGTGGCTTGTGAAAAGGCAAAAGAAAGCCTGTCACGTTTGGGTAAATATGAGCCATTTAGCATAGGCGGAGCATGAACTAGGGAGGAGGCCTCAAGTGCCATCTTGAGAGTCAGGACTTGATTTTTGGGATGAGGAGCTGCGGAGGAATGTTGAACAGAAGAATGGCATGAGCAGACTTACATCTCAGGACTCCAGCTGCCCTGGGGAGAGTGGATTAATGGGGAGGGGCCAGGAGGCAGGGAGACCTGCCGAATGACTGGCGCAATAGTAGAGCCTGAACTGGGGCAGTGGGGATGCAGAGGGAGGGGAGGAGGGAGAGAGACGCAGGAGGGAGAGCCCGCAGAAGGTGGCCACCCATCAGTCATTGCCTGAGGCAGCGAGGGGAGGAAAACCGGCTCCATGGTGGTGCCTTTTCCCCAGATGAGGAACATAGGAGGCAGAGAGGGTCCAGGGAGAAAACACTTTCAACGCTGAAAGTGGCACTTGTAGGTGGACGTGGCAGTGGGCAGCTGGAGCAGAGGAGCGAGGTTAGGCCAGGGGGACAGACTGGGGAGAGTGCAGAATGAGAGAAAGCCCATGAAAGACTGAGGGGAGTGGTCCTTCTGTTTTCTAAATTTTTTAAAATTGTATTTTTCAGTTACACTGTACATTCTATATTATTTTGTGTTAGTTTCAGGTGTACAGCATAGTGTTTAGGTGGTCACTTTACAGAGCGGTCCCCCTGATATTTCCAGGACCAACCTGGCAGTTTTAGGTTCAGAGCAAAACTGAGCAGAAGACAGAGATTTCCCATATGCCCTTGGTTAAAAGCTTTTTAATTTGGAAATAACTTTAAGCTTACAGAAAATTGCAAGAACAAGTTTCTTTATTTTTAAATACTGTTTTTCTTATTAAAGAATATATTCTCTGAATGTATAGAGAAGAAAATTGAGATCATTCATGATTCTACCATCTGAAAATCAGTACTGTCGTTATTTTGGTGTATTTCCTTCCAGTTTTTTTCCTATACTTACACACGTATTTTTAACTGGACTATTTTATCCAGAGACTGATCCCACCCTCCAGAGCCCCCCTGTCTGCGTGTCCATACATGGCTCAGTGCCGTGGCCTGCGCCCCCAAATCCCTCCCCAGAGAGTCTGCTCTGTGAGCAACAGTGTATCCCCGTTTGTGGTTTGTGGTGCCCTTTCTCCCTGGATTCAGTGCTTATGCAGGTTTTCCCTCTAACATTAGTTTCACCTTTGGTTTTCTTAGGTAATATTGGCTGACTTCTGGTGGGACAACTTGCCCAATGCTCCTTGGGTCACTGTCTTGCCCACGTCCCACACTTATCTCTCTGTGTGAGTCTGTCTCCCCACTCACCTGGGGACTCTGGAGGGTGGGGCTCAGGGCTGACTCACCGCCCAACATGAGGCAGAGTTGGCCCTAGAAATATGTACGGAATCAAATCAGCCCACTTACTTAGCATGGCCCATCCATCTGTGCTTCAGACTCTCGGAGTGCCTTATACTAATTTACAGCCACCAGCATGGTGTCTGGCACACAGTAGATGCTCAATAAATGTTTATTAGTGCTGCTACCAATAACCTGAAGATTTTCATGCATGGGAGCTGTTTTTTCCTTCTGCCCTTTCCTGCCTCCCCCTGCTTCTCCTGGGTGGTGGAGGAGAGAGACCACTTTGACATGCCAGAGGGAAGGGGCCCTGCTTTGTCCCCCATCTTCTATAGTTAGGAGCAAAGCTAAGTTGGCAATGGATTCAAAAGAAACAGTTCCCAGTGCTGAAGCTATTTTATATGTTTGCATTGCTCACAATACCAGTTATCATTAGCAGCAATTAAAACTATTTCAGGATTAGTTCAAAGCTGCCTTTGAGGTATTTTAAGTTGCACAAAAGTCTCCCATGTGTCTAGAGCCAAGTTCCCTGGTGTCATTAGAAGCCCACTTGTATTTGGAGAATACCCAGTCTGTATATTTTGATCATCTCAACATTTTGTAAATTTCAGGAGTGTTTGTCAGAAGTGGGTTAATGTCCGCAGAGCTGTTTCAATTGTCTTAAAAGTCCCACTTCCAACCTTAATTAAGTGGGAGGGAGAGGAGGCGGTGGCTCTGCATAGGGTCTTCCCTTAGAACAGTCCTTCTGGGCGGGCAGACCCCGGGGCCTCGGGGCCCACAGGGAGCCTGGCAGAAACCAGAGCAGAGAGGCAGGAGGGCCTGGTCTAGGGTGGGGGCATCAGGAACTGGGAAGGAGGCGGAAGGCCGGTGTGCAGGGCTGGGCTGTGAGGAGAGGAGTGGGGAGACTTCAGAACACCTTAGGTAATCTTCAGATTTGATTGAAAGATAAAAACAGGGAAAGAACTGGTTTTGGCAATTGGACTGCTAGGGAGTTAGTCAGCAACTTGTTCTTACTCTCGGTTGGCCTTGGCCCTGACCCTGGGCCTGGAGGGCTGGCAGTGGCATTGGGGCCCGGGATTACTGCCCCCTAAACACCTCCAGGACCCTCTGGGGCCACGATTGGCACCAAGCATCTCGCTACCTGCTGACCCAGGGTGCAGTTGGGCTGAGCTGGGCTGCTTTGGGTGGGAGTTCTGAACTGGGTGGCAACTCAGATGTGAGGAAAGCTTCTGAAAGAGTGGAGAACTGCGGAAGGGCCTGCCAGCAGGACGGCCTGTGTCAGTGAGGCTGCAGCAGAGACCAGGAAGGGACCAGTTAAGACAAAGCTGTCTTGCCCAAGTGCCTTTGGTGGTGACTGACATGACCGCTGGGTCGTTTCTGCTTGGGAATAGCAGCATTGGTTGTCTGCAGGTTTGTGGTTTGGGAATAAGGAACCTGCTGCTGCCCTGGGCTTTCCCACACGCCTGGCTTTAGTCAGAGCTCACCCAGACTCCACTGAGCTCTGATCTGCATCCCTAAGATTTTTGTACATAAGTCACCTCTTTGCTCCTCTTTCCAGCTTGAAGACCTGAGGCCATAACCGCTGGAAGAAGCCATGGCCCTGCTCCTGGGAGAGGTGCCATCAGCCCTAGACACCCACACACTCACACCAACCCTGGGGCTGGGGCCTCGGGACAGGCTGGGGCGGGGGTTGTGCAGGAAAGTGGGGCCTTGCTCGTGGCATCGAGTGCCCAGAAATGGCAACAGTGGAGGGCATCCTGTCCTTGGCCCCACAATGTGGGAGGGCAGAAGGCAGGATGACCCACTTTCAAAGTGGCGTGGCTGTGACCGGGGCTGCTTCAAGTGGTCAGCCTGCATATACATGTTGGTCTTAAATTCTTCAAAACTGGGCAGTTAAACATCTGTATCCTGTTTTCATTGGCTTGTAAGCCATGGTGATGGGGACCTGCCTAGTTTTCTGAGCCAGCAAGTGTGCCCAGAGGCTAATAAACAGCAGGTGCCTCCAGTAAATATGATTTTAATACTCAGTGTAAATGTGTGTGCAAGTAAATATGTAAAATGAAATGTAGCAGCTGAAGTCTATATGCAAGTTACACAATGTCTTAGCTGATTGAACTGAGAACTGTAGTGACTGTGTGTGTTATACGTA